GCCCCTTGTGTTAAATAGCCTGTTCCTTATCTACCTATCAATTCCTTTGAGAATCTTGTATATGGTGCTCATGTCCCCCTTAACTCTTCTGTCTTCCAGCGGCTTTAGGTTTAATTCCCTTAGTCTCTCCTCGTAGCTCATACCTCTCAGTTCGGGTACTAGTGTGTGCGTGCGTGCGTGCGCGTGTGCGTTTGTCATATAGCATGGTAACTACTGCAACAGTCGATGAATCATCTCATGCTCGCATAACAGATGCAACAGGAACCCGGGTTCGATCCCGTTATCCGGCTTCACTAGCATCTCCTTCTAATAATCGTTGATATCTTCTCGCCGGAGAAGATATCCTAATCACGTTGTGGCCGTCTTGGCAGCTGTCGGGATTATTTCTGACGGAATTTTTTAATTAGCATAGAAAAAAGATTTCCCAGTGCTTCTTGCTTGAATGCACCCGAGGCGCCTTCCTAAAGTACATCTGTTGAGTCTTCTCTCACACACACACACACACACACACACACACACACACACACCACACACACCCACACACACACACACACACACACACACACACACACACACACACACACACACACACACACACACACACACACATTTAGTGTCCTCTGACTGGTAAATTGGCAGTGCCTCATCTATTGTCATCTCCCAAGATACCTCAAGATAACTACAAGATAACCTCAAGATATAACCTGCCATAACATGTTGTATACACACCTACAGGTTACAGAGCCTATCAAGCCTCATAGATTACAGAGAATAATAATGCATAAGAATTCAATTGTCCTGTAATATACAGCACAACAATCATGACCTGTTATTGTGAAATCTAACATTGCTACCATATGCTTCCACGAACATAATTAATACAATTACAACATCAGGGCCACGATTCATGAAGCAATTTACGAAACCTGTAAATCTTTCACCAATCATGGCGTCTGTGTTTACATTTATTCAAGAGTTTATGAGCTTGGAAACTTTACAACCAAAGGTTATTATTATTATAAACAACCTCGTAGTGCTTTGCAACTCATAAATTTTAATAAATGTAAACAAAGCCGCCATGGCTTTCGAAAGATGTATAGGTTTTGTAAGTGAACACAGCCGCAATGACTTACGAAAGATGTATAGGTTTTCTAGGTAAACAAAGCCGCCATGGCTTTCGAAAGGTGTATAGGTTTTCTAGGTAAACAAAGTCGCCATGGCTTACGAAAGATGTATAGGTTTTGTAAGTAAACAAAGCCGCCATGGCTTACAAAAGATGTATAGGTTTTGTAAGTAAACACAGCCGCAATGACTTACGAAAGATGTATAGGTTTTCTAGGTAAACAAAGCCGCCATGGCTTACGAAAGGTGTATAGGTTTTGTAAGTAAACAAAGCCGTCATGACTTACGAAAGATGCATATACTGCGCAAGTTGCGTGTTGGGAGCAACTTGGCCTCCAGTGGTGACTTAATACTTTAGGAAATCATCTCGAAAGAGGTTTCCAAAGCTTCAGTAAAGTTAGGGAAGGCTTTATGGGATCCAGAACCCCCTAATGTAAGCCATAGGCTCCAGAACCCCCCTAATGTAAGCCATATGCTCCAGAACCCCCCTAATGTAAGCCATGGGCTCCAGAACCCCCCTAATGTAAGCCAATAGGCTCCAGAACCCCCCTAAATGTAAGCCATAGGCTCCAGAACCCCCCTAATGTAAGCCATGGGCTCCAGAACCCCCCTAATGTAAGCCATAGGCTCC